AGACCAGCCTGGGCAACACAGTGAGACCCCATCTCCACAAAAAATACAAAAATTAGCCAGATGTGGTAGCATGCGCCTGTAGTCTCAGCTGATCAGGTGGTTGAGGCAGAAGAATTGCTTGAGCCCAGGAGTTTCAGGCTGTGGTGAGCCGGGATCATGGCACTGCACTCCAGCCTGGGAGACAGAGTGAGACTCAAACTCAAAAAAAAAAAGAAGAAGAAGAAGAAGAAAAAGCATGGCAAAGATCTCAGTATATTTTTATGCTGTATATGTGAATTGTCGTGATAGGAATTTGTTCCTTGACATTGATTATTTTGGTGGAGAGCTGAAAACATGTTTCTTAATTGTGTTTATATTTCTCTAGGCATGGTCCTTCCTGGTATGTACTTTAACTTTCCAAGTAGTTAAATTATTATAATTAGATGCGTTACATTAATTTGAAATGGTTAAGAACATAACTAAAAAAAAAAAAATCTACATTAACCAGTTGGAATCGCTATCAGTTCATGATCCAACCAGTTTTAGCAGAATAATACTACATTCTTCTCTTGATTGGAGGCCAAACAACAGGAAGTTTCTGAATCAGATGCAGCTGTTGTTTATAATGTTTTATTTGGCTGGCAAAGTAAACTTGTTTCTAAATGATTGGTGTACATTTTATTCCTGAGTCTTTTAAATTTAGCATCTTCTCCCAATGGCTGTGGGTCCTCATTTAGTTTCACAAATCTGGGAAAAAAATTCCTAATGTGTCTATGAGGGATTTTCAATCAATGAAGAGTAAATCCATTCAAAGTGGATGCACCTGGTTGGATTGTGTATGATTGTACTTCATTTGTTTGCAATGTGTGATTATGCATGACTTTCATTTCAAGCTATTGTGATTGCTAGTCATAGAACTGGGAATAAATATGCACTTGCTGTGGCTGTAGACCTCTGCACTGTACCAGAATGAAAAGGTAAAACTCTGAAGATATCATTTGCCTTTCGTATTGTTTTCATCATTGCTGTTTTTCCTTAAAAAAAAAAAACCTAGTTAAGCAATAAAGAGTAATTTAGCTTTGCATAGAGACAGTCCCAAATAACCAACAAGCAGATCTACAAGGCTGAAATGAAAGACTTGAAAATTATTTAAAGAAAAAAGAATTGTTCGATTGAATAAATTATCTGTTGGAATAACTGTAGTTTTAAAAAAAACCATAATACTGTACTCTTCTTCAAGATGAAATAGACCACAGTAAAATAAAAGGCAGTTCCCAGCAGAGCAGAAGCTCATGAAGGAAAAGACTCCAAGTCCGAGTCAATGTCAAAAGCCGTGGAGGATATTTCAGTGCAGTTAACTGCACTAGGGAAGTTGATAAAGACGATAGGAAAACCAGTAAATCTGCATATATTCACGGAGAGTTGTCACTACAGGCTCATAAGATCAGTTGGCATTTTTACTCGGCAGAATTCCCTTCCGTAACATCCCACAGATTGGTTCTTATAGAGTGGCGGCCTGCCAAGGACTACTGTGTAGTCATTTCAGATTTTCATTCAGGGTCAAGATGCAGGTGAGTCACAGGCTACACTGGACAGGGACCTAGTGGACACCAGGAAGCAATTGCAACAGAAAGTGAAGTATCCTTTGGGCTTCAACCCAGAATAGCTGATGGAAGACAAAGTGGCAGGCAGGGCTAGACCTCCATATTTTGCTTTATTTTGATCAGGTCACTCTTTATAAGCAGAAGCAAATATCAAGGTCTTTTTCTGAGCAGTGTAGTCAGTACAATCCACAGAAAGTGTGAGTCTCATTAGAACAACAGTGTCTTCAGGCTATTTATTTTTTCAGCCTCTTTCTCTTTTCCTCAACTGACTATGCTGTAAATTTATTTATCTGCCACCACAAACTTCCATTAATTTATAGTGCTTTACATAACGCCCCCTGCAGCAACCCAGGGAGTTACATATTGTTTATTATCCCACTTTTCCAGTGAGAAAATTGAGTTCAGAAAAGTTGAATGGCGCACATAGTAAATGAGAGAACTCCTGATTTTGAGTTTAGTGTTCTCTGCAAAGGACTTGGTTGCTCTAATTGCCCATGAACTTTGAAACAAAGAGTCATTTGAATGACAAAACCATTGCTTTCTGTTCACAGTATCTACTTTGTGGTTTATAAAGGGTTCCAAAGCATATTGCAGGGTTTTATGATAGACTGGATTTCTTTATTGCTAGCAGTTGCTGTCTATATCCTGTGACATTCTTTAGGTCCTAGTAACTTTTGGAGAGTGTTTAAAAGGTGCAGTGATATGCCTGGAAAGTTGGGTTTCACAGCTACTACAGGGAGTCTTATGCCCCCAAAGGAACAGAATCTAAATCTTTAACTCTGTCAGAGGCATTCTAAAGAATATTTAAAGGTGATGACCATTCTCTTCAGAATATTTAAATCTAAAGGTTAGATATGAAGGTTAGGTTGAAATAACTTTATTAAACTATGGTACATTTCCTCAGATCCATAAACAATTGGATTTATTTTCTCTGGAGTTAAATGTTTTCTTTATTCACTTTCATTTCATTCCATTCTGAATCTCGAACCTGGGAACTACTGCAAAATTTTCTCTACCATTCTTTTCTGTCATACACTTAACCATGGGTTTTCATTTCCTCACCTGTAAGTACAATTGAGAGACTGGCATATCATTTCTTAATGATGCTAGATAATGTAAAAAAAAAAAAAATTACCGAACTGTGTTCCCTCTTTTGTAACAATGCCCTAACAATGCCATATTACTTACAAATATGGCATTGTTAGGGCATTGTTACAAAAGAGGGAACACAGTTCGGTAATTTTTTTTTTTTTTACATTATCTAGCATCATTAAGAAATGATATGTTTTTAGAGAGTCAAATTTTATCCTTGTAAGCCCCAAACGACTACACCTTTTAACCATCTTCCCTAGAAACATTTCAAAATAGTCTTACTAAAACAAAAAAGAAAAGAAAAAAATTATTCACTCAAAAAAAGAATAGGTTCAACATCAACTTAAAACATTTACTCTGACATTTTTAATTTTACCAGTTACTAAACTGGGCTCTAATATAATGATGCCCTGAAGATTGGGAGAGCTGTGGGATTGTTGGTCCCCACATTAAAGGATTTCACAGTCATGATCATGTCTCTGAATTTTTAGTTTCTGAATTAGTCATGATTCTCCAGAAAAAAAGAGAACCAACAGAATGGAGAGAGAACTAGAGCTAGAGCTAGAGATAGATAGAGACAGAGAGAGAGAGAGAGAGACAGAGAGAGAGAGATTTGTTTTAAGAAATGAGCATATGTGATTGTAGAAGCTGGCAAGTCCAAATTCTGGCAGGCTGGAGACCCAGAGAAGAGTTGCAGTTTGAGCCAAAGGATCACTCCTTTCTATTCAAGTCTTCAACTGATTAGATGAGTCCTGCCCACATTATGGAGGGTAATTTGTTTTATCCAAAGTCTACTAGACTGGACACAGTGGCTCATGCCTATAATCCCAGCACTTTGGGAGACCAAGATGAGAGGATTGCCTGAGCTCACAGGTTTGAGACCAGCCTGGACAACTTGGTGAGACCTCAATTCTACAATTAAAAAAAAAATTAGCCGGGTGTGGTGGCGTATGCCTGTAGTTCCAACTACTTAGAAGGCTGAGACAGAAGGATTGCCTGAACCCAGCAGGTCAAGGCTGCGGTGGCTGTGAATATGCCACTGTACTTCAACTTGGACAACAGAGTGAGACTTGAACTCAAAAACAAAAAACAAAACAAAACAAAACGTCTTCTGATTTAAATGTTGATCCCATCTAAAAAAAAAACAACTAAAAAAATGTTTGACCAAATATCTGGGTATGATGGTCTATCCAGGTAACATTTGCCATCACAGTTTCTGTGTCCGTTTATTAATAGTTTTCTCTTTCTTTGTGGTCAGGCTGTCATTTGACATTTTTTGCTGCTGAAAATGTAGCTTCTCTGAACACCACATTCTGTACCTTCCAGTTTGTTGTGTCATATGCTGAGAAATCAGAACACTCAGCCTACTTAAATTCATTTTAAAGTAAGAGACTCAGCAGAATAATGAGAGGGTCTCAAACGTCAAAGAAAGTGCATAAGTGTTAATAAATGACTTTATGTCATTTTTTACTCCTCTGTGCTTGTTGACTGATGCTTCTCAGATGTAGGTGAACTAACAAGACTTGTGATTCCTACATAAGTGAGATGACTAGTTTCTTCAGAATATTTAAAGGTGATGGGGTACCTAGACCCCAGTGAATAACATCAGGAGAACTGCTTGTTTGGGATCTTGTAGATTAATATTAATTGTATGAATTTTTTTTCTTTTCAATTCAGTGTGCTTGTATGCAGATAGAGCTTAAACAGATAATAAAATAAAACACTTACTTGATATTCACACAAGGTTTGTTTTTAAGAAAGACTAGAGGTTTTGGTTTGTGTTGCCAGTTTTATTTTGTTTAATTGGGGTTTTAATGACTTTAACCTCTCTAGTGCATTGACGTCAGGACTAAGATTTAAAAGGAATCTTTTTAAATTATTATTTATTGTAGCGATGAGGTCTCACCAAGTTGTCCAGGCTGGTCTCGAACCCATGGGCTCAGGCAATCCTCTCATCTTGGCCTCCAAAGTGCTGGGATTATAGACATGAACCACCACGCCAGGCCAAGAGGAATCTTAAGTCTTAAGTCTCCCCAGAAGGAAGATGTCCTCTCCTTGTCCCCAGTGTTAGATCACTTACTGAGGTCACCTCCGTGATTTGAGACTCACTTTTCTAACTCACTTTTCACATAAGTGCCGCCCACTTTGGAAAGCCCCTTAAGAACTTCTCATTATAGACTCTAGACAAACTGGTGCAGCCAACACAACCATGTTGGTTTTGGGTCTTAATGCCTTTTGAAGACCATGTTTGGAAGCAGCATTGTGCATGTTTGAGACAGCACACCTTATGTCCGGTATTTATGCATCACACGGCTCTCTTCACAGACGGAGTCATCAACTTGAGTATCCCCATCGTGCTGCCCGTCTCTGCAGATGATAAGACACAGCTGGAAGGGTGCAGCGAGTTTGTCCTGACTTACGGCGGACGGAGGGTGGCTATCTTACGAGACCCTGAATTCTATGAACATAGAAAAGAGGAGCGCTGTTCCCGTGTGTGGGGGACAACATGTGCAAAACACCCCCATATCAAAGTGAGTTGCAAAACCTTTGGAAGAGCTTTCTTGATTTACTCAGGACAAAAATAATTCTTTTTCATTCCCTTGCAAAGGACTCAAAAAAATTGGAGTTGGATGAAAGAAAAGTATGTCTCAGGTAGGGTTTGTAGGCTTTGCCTTAGGAGATCTTTTTAGAAAGGGGCAAAGACATGTCTTTAAGGGCTGGTCTCCATGATTTCTTAAGTCCTCAGATCCTGTGATGGCTGTCATTCTCTGCTAAATGAGACCAGAAAGATCACTTACTAGGCATCATGAATAGAGGAACAAAATTATAGCTGTAGCTATGCACAGAACCACAGCCACAGCTCTCAGCCCTGTCCATCTTGAAAACGCAGAAGAAAAATAAATATCTTTATGCAAAATGGGCCCAACGAACCTCTGGAATGAGAACTCAGAGTTCATGTTTTGTGGCCAATGAGAGGGTCAATGACATCTTTTCAGTAAATAAGAATCAGCACAGATAATGGTAGAGTTCCCAGAGGGAAGGTACCACATTTTTTACAGTGGCTGTATTTCAGATTGCAAAAAATGCATTCATCTGACTTGTGACGTCTATCATGACTAAAGGTGAAAAGACTAAAGAGTCCCCTTCACAGTTTTGAATTGCTGTTAGCCATGGGGTGGGGGGAAGGGGATTTTGGAATTTGGAATTATGGAATTGATGGGTGTGGTTCATTTCACACACAAAAAAACATGTGAAATTGAATGTGAAAGCATCCCTCATCTAAATAACAGCTTTAGGTTTGGGTTAGGTTTAGGGGTAGGGTTAGGGATTAGGGTTTGGTTTAGGCTGAGGGTTGTGGTTAGGGTTAGAGCTTGGGTTAAGACTAGGGCTAGGTTTAGGGTTTTTTTTAGGGTTAGGGCTAGGTTTGGGGTTAGTGTTAGGATTAGGATTAGAATTAGGATTAGTGTTAGGAATAGGTGGAAATTTAAAAAGTCATATAGCACTGACTGAATCCTCCATTTCTCCAGCGGAAGTAACTAACATTCAGCAAGTTCACAGGAATAGAGAGTAATTTGAGACTCAGGAGACTCTTCCAACCTTGTGATTGGACAAGACACATCCTTTCTGGGTCTCAGTTTCTTTATTTCTCAAACAGAGAGGGCCAGACCCAGAATAACTCTAAAGGCTCCTCCAGCTCCATGACCCTGCAAAAAGTTAGGTTTTTCTATATGGGGTTTGTGTGTGTGTGTGTAGTTGTGTTTTTGTTGTGAAATGTTCCAAGAAGGAAAGGCCTTTTCAAGGCCCCATAGGTAGCCCCTGAAGGCCTTCTTAATCTGAACAAAAGGTAAGTGGACAAGCAAAACTTCTTTTGCATTTATTAGATACACTCTCCACCCTGCAGATAAACACCTTTAATCTTAACACACCTTCAGATCAAAGTCATCTGAATAGTATTTCTCAAAGAAGCTGCCATACAGTCCTTGAAGCTACTGGACACTTGATTGAGTGCTGTTTAAGGTATATCGTGTTCTAGGCCTTAACTATGTCTCTGATCATTTTTTGCCTGATCATAATCATATAGTTTTGGGATTTTTATTTTTCTCAGTGACCCAAAGATAGCAGCGTTTCATTATGTCATCTCAGATTTTTCTACTCTTTAAGTCTAACATCCACAACCATATGACTAGCACTAAATAATAATAAAAATAAAAATGATCTGAAGAGTCTCATTTTACTGCAGTTCACTTTATTGGACTTCACAGATATTACTTTTTTAACAAATTGAAGGTTTGTGGCAAACCTGTATTGAGCAAGTCTATCAGCGTCATTTTTCCAACAGCACGTGGTCACTTCATATCTCTGAGTCATATTGGGATAATTCCTACAATATTTTCAACTTTTCCATTATTATTATATCTGTTATGGTGATCTCTATCTGTGATCTTTGATGTTACTATTGTAATCATTTGGGGGCACCAGGAACCGTGCCCATATAAAATGGTGAACTCAATGAATAAATATTGTGTGTGTTCTGACTGTTCCATAGACTAGCCATTCTCCCATCTCTCTCTTTCTCTTCAGGCCTTCCTGTTCCCTGAGATCCAACAATATTAAGAATAGTTCTCATATGACGTCTAAATGTCCAAGTGAAAGGTCACTTACATCTTGTGGTACATCTCTCACTTAAATCAAAAGTTAGAAATGATTAAGCTTAGTGAGGAAGGCATGTCCAAAGCTGAGATAGACTGAAAGCCAGGCCTCTTGCACCAAACAGTTAGCCAAGTTGTGAATGCAAAGGAAAAGTTCTTGGAGGAAATTAAAAGTGTTACTTCAGTGAAATGATAAAACGAAACAGTCTTATTACTGATGTAGGGGGTCAAGAGAAAATGTCCCCTTCACCCTCTGAATGTTTGCTGAAAAAGCAACTGGCAAAGCAGATTAATAAGAGAAAGGCATGTGACTTTATTAACGTGCACAGTGAAAAAAATCAGAGTGGTTGCCCCAGCCCCCAAATTAGGTATAGAGGTTTATATATCATCTTGTCACAGAATGAATGAGGGCTCAGAGTAAAGCCAAAGACAGGTAACAGGAAGAAGAGGCCTGGTTAGCAAAGGTGGTCATATTGTGTAGGTGAAACCTCACAAGGGTTTCTTCCAGAACTTTTGTTTTGTTTTGTTTTGTTTGTTTGTTTTTTGAGTTGGAGTCTCACTCTGTCACCCAGACTGGAGTGCAGTGGCCGCTCCCGGCCACCGCAGCCTCGACCTGCTGGGCTCCGACTACCCTTCTGCCTCAGCCTTCCGAGTAGCCGGAATTACAAGCGCGAGCTACCACGCCCGGCTGATTTTTTGATTTATTGCAGAGATGAGGTCTCGCTGCCCAGGCGGGTCTCGAACCCGCGGGCTCAGGCAATCCACTCACCTCAGCCTCCCAAAGGCGCGGGATTACAGGCTGAGCCACCGAGCCCGGCTTCTTCCAGAACTTTTTATTTTTTATTTTAAATATGTGGGTTACAGTTCAGGGTTAGGTATACAAATGTTCATTATGCAGGTGCCCTTGTTGATGAGGTGTGCCCCAGCAGTTTCCCACGACTGCCAATCCCTTTCTTATAGAATTAGGATAGTTGTTCAAGGTTCGCTTATGAGTGAGAACATGTGATACTCAATTCTTTGTTTCTGTGGTTGATCACTCAGTATTATAGCCCATCCAAGTTACTGCGAAGTTCATAATTTTGACCTTCCTTATGGCTGCGTAATATCCCATCACGTTTAAATGTTGTCAGTTAATCTTTCCTAGATCTGACCTGAAGAGGCCCTCAGAGAAAGACTGTTTTCTCTACAGATGCAAATCTCCCCCACAAAAGATAGTTGTTTGTTTTGTTTTCAGTTATTCTTGTATTTCCAGCTCTTCTGATCCTTGAACTGTATCAAAGAAATATATTTTGAGGTGAATATATTTTGGTTTCCTTCACTAATAAGAAGAAAGTTTTAGTGGTCTGGATAGAAGATCAAACTAGCCACAATTCCCTTAGTCAAGACCTCATCCAGAGCAAGCCCCAAACTCTCTGCAATTCTGTGAAGGCTAGAGAGATGAGGAAGCTGCAGAAGGAGAGTGTGAAGCTAGCAGAGGTTCGTTCATGAGATTTAAGGAAAAAAGTCACCTTCCTAACATAGAAGTGCAAGGTGAAGCAGCCAGTGCTGATGGAGAAGCTGCAGTAAGTTTTCCAGAAGATCTAGCTAAGATTATTGATGAAGATGGCTACACTAAACAATAGATTTTCAATGTAGATGAAATAGCCTTCCATTGGAAGAAGACACCATCTAGGACTTTCATAGTTAGGAGAAGTCAATGCCTAGCTTTAAAGATTCAAAGGACAGCTTCACTTTCTTGTAAGGTGCCAGTCTAGCTGGTGACCCTAAGTTGGAGCCAATACTCATTGACTTTTGTGAAAATCCTAGGGCCTTTATACATTATGCTTAGTCTATTATTCCGCTTGTGCTCTTTATGTGAAACAAAAAGGCTAGATGACCACACATTGTTTATAGAATGGCTTACTGTATGTTTTAAGTTCACTGTTGAGACTGACTGCTCAGAAAATACTGCTCATTTCAAAATATTACTGGTCTTTGGCAATGTACGTGGTCACCCAAGAGCTCTGATGGAGATGTGCAAAGAGATGGCTGTTGTTTTCAGGCCTGCTAACCCAATATCCCTATGGATCAAGGAGTAATTTCGACTTTCAAGTCTTATTATTTAAGAAACACATTTCGTAAGGCTATAGCTGTCAAGGACAGTGATTCCTCTGATGGATCTGGGTAAAGAAAATTTAAAAACCTTCAGGAAAGGATTCACTATTCTAGATGTCATTAAGAACATTTCGTGATTTATGGGAAGAGGTCAAAATATCAACATTAAAGTGAGTTTGGAAGAGGTGGATTTCATCCCTTGTGGTGTTGAGGGGTTCAAGACTTCAGTGGAGGAAGTCACTGCAGATGTAGCAGAAACAGCAAGTCGAATTCCAAGTGGAGCCTAAAAACGTGGCTGAAATACTGCAGTCTCCCGATAGCACTTGAATGGAGTTGCTTCTTATGGATGAGGAAAGAAAGCAGTTTCTTGAGATGGGATCAGCTCCTGGTGAAGATGCTGTAAACATGGCTAAAATGACAACAATGGATTTAGAATATGACATAAACTTAGTTGATAAGGCAGTGGCAGGATTTGAGAGGACTGACTCCATTTTGAAAGAAGTTCTACTGTGGACAAAATGCCATTCTGTGGACAGGATAGATAGCATGCTACAGAGAAATCTTGTGAAAAAAGAAGAGTCAGTTGATGTGAATATGGCAAATTTCATTGTTGTCTGTCTTATTTGAAGAAACTGCCACAACCACCCATTGCACCTGGTCACCCAACCACCATTCTGATCAGCCAGAAGCCATCAACATCGAAGCAAAACCCCCCACTGGCAAAAAGATGACAACTTGCTGGAGGCTCAGCCGATCATTATCGTTTTTTTAGCGAAAAGTATTTTTAA